GACACCACGATTTCACACATTCCGTTGATGTGCCCGACTGTCATAGCACCAAAATTAATGAAGATTTTTTGTAAATTGTTGTTGAAATTCCTTTAGATACCTCCACATTGGTCATGCCAAAGCGGCTCTGTTGAACCAGTACTACCAGCAAACTTTCGAGGGGCAACTGATCATGCGATTTGATGACACCAATCCTGCTAAAGAAAACGCCCACTTCGAGAAGGTTTGCTATCCCTGAATTCTGCTTCTCATGCCCTGACTTGATGCATGACTTGATTTATTACTGCAGGTGATAAAAGAAGATCTGGCAATGTTGAACGTTGTTCCTGATCGATGGACTCATTCATCTGACTACTTTGAGCTCATGTTACAAATGTGTGAGAAGCTTTTGCGTGAAGGCAAAGCATATGTGGACGATACGGACACTGAAACAATGCGTAAAGAGCGCGAGGAGCGAATCGAAAGCAAAAATCGAAATACTCGTAAGTTTGTTGTTAAAGCCTTGCGAGTATTACTGGCCTTGCCTCCAAAGCACGTCCGCTGAGGATCCCCAGCAGGGAAGAGGGTGCATTTGGTCGCTGGGGGAAAGAAGATAGAATAGCGTTTAGAAAATATTCTGTTGTTGAATTCCCTCGATTTTTCCCATTTGAAGTGCTGCTCTATACCCCTCCTCCCCACTCCCACAGCGGCGTTTTCTAGCTGAATACTGAATGAGAGGGAATTTTTCGGGAAAATGGTAGAAAAAGATGAAATTTAGGAAGATGTTTGATAGGATGAGGAAGGGGGTCGCAGGAGTGGGAAATTTCGAGGTGAGGGGTCGCATCCTGCAAAAATCTCCAGCAGGACGTATCCTGTTTGTCTCCCACTTTTCTTACTTATCATTGCCGTAGAAAGGTAGAGCTTCTCACATCTATTTCCTTTCCCTTGCTTTTCAGACGTTTAGGATGAGCGGCGTCATCATCCTCCCCTCCCTGCTTCCTTCACCTCCCTGGTTTTGAGTGGATAATCTCAACAAGGCTGAAACTGTTGTTGGCACAAGGAATCAATTCACTAACTCGTCTTTTCTTCTTCTGGTTTAAGGCCAAGAAATCGTCAACCTTTTGACGTCACAACTCATACATATCGTCAGGCATCATTTGGCTCTTATTTGCATACATATAAATCAGGCCATTGCGTAAGAGTGAAGTTTCTAAGTAATTTCGTAGAATTAAGGGCTCAGTGATGCATAGATGGAATTACTGTAAATACATGGAAGATTATATAACGAAATGTCCCTTCCCAACAATAGCCTTGATCACATGCAGTTGACTAAGACTTCTGATTGCAGCTCCCGAGCGCAAACTTAGCGTTGTGGGAAGAGATGAAAAATGGAACCGAACGGGGTTTGCAGTGTTGGCGTTTCGCATCCGTAAGATGACAGAGCAGTACAATAATTTGGCGGCAAATGAGGGACCGCACAATCTACGTGGTTGTTTGGCAGAAGCTTTTGCATTGGAAATTTTTTTCCAAAATGTTCATGAACTGAATGTTTCAGATGCAAGCCAGAGGAACATGTGCGTACCGGGATGAAGTACAAGTATAGTGCTTTGTTCAACTTTTGATTTCTGAAATGTTACCTCTTTCCAAGCTGATTTTGCGTTGATCACATAGGCGGAGTCACTTCGACAAGTGCAACTCTGTAAATTATGGTCCCCTTCCTGGAGATAGCTATGAAAGGGAGCGCACCCATAAGGAAGTTGCACTTTCCTAGATTACTCCGCCCATACAATGAGCGCGGAATGATGCTTTAACTTTTCTGTATTCTGTCCTTTCAGTTCGATTGCACAGTGTTTAAGTTGATTTCTACACCATATTTCCAGGGTTTATCCGACGTACGACTTCGCCTGCCCTATTGTGGATAGTGTGGAAGGAGTAACTCATGCTCTCCGTACAACTGAGTATACTGACAGGTGAACTACAGGCTTCTTTTGTACTAGTTCTCGCAGTAATTGATGAAAATCTAATGAAAGGGCTTCAGAGATGATCAGTATTACTTCATTTGTGATGCTCTGGGTATTCGTAAACCACATATTTGGTCATATGCTCGTCTGAATATGACAAATACTGTGATGAGTAAACGCAAGTTAACATGGTTCGTCGATGAGGGTCACGTCGAGGGCTGGTAAGTTGTTTTCAGCGCTGTTCGGCCTGGAAGGGGCATCTGCGCTTCCGCTAGCTATCGAACTGGTCTCATTTTGGAGAGACCTGTAGATTCTTTCAAAGCGGGCCAGTCTAAGTGAACCGTTTTGGCTACGCAAATGTACAGGTCCCTCACAAGGAGGTGTATACATGTTTCGATGAGTACTGTTTGTTTCCCCTTCCAAGCCAATTTCTGCCTTGTTTTCTTTTGAACATAATTGATGAGCTATGCGCTGCAACTGTTCCAGGGATGATCCGCGCTTTCCCACTGTACGCGGTGTAATGCGGCGAGGAATGACGGTTGAAGGTTTGAAAC